TAACATGCATAGAAACATGTTGGATTAAACTGCACTAATACATCAGAGGACACTGGTGGGGTCTGCACCTGTCAAGCGCAAAGATTTAATCACCACTCGCTGCCATGGTCCACAACCAGCAGGCCTGCTCATTACTCCATACCCATTTGAACCTTGTTTACCATCCTAAAGTATGTTAAGTTGAATACACACCGCATGCCTGTGTGTACTGTCATAAGACCAATGAGTAGTTACTCTTTTCCTCCTGAAGAATCGGTATAGGGAGATGATAGGGAAAAAACAATTGCAGTAGGATGTGAGACTCGAGCCACAACAAGTCTCTAAAAGACCAAGTCTCAGAGCGCACCAGACTTAAGAAGGAAAGTCCTCCTTGCTGTGTAGGGAACTCAGCAACCAATAACAGTAACAGCGAAGAGCGCTTAATATTACAAACAATGATAGCACTTTGAGTGAAAGTGCATCATTAATAGCGTGTGTAATTGAGATTAGTCTATCGCATTGTTTCGGTACAATGACTATTTAGCCATAGTGTTGATTGTACTACAGAGATCATTCTAGGGTCTCAGATATCAGAAGTGTTAGATTCATCTATAAAATAATTGAAGAGAATGAGATTAAGATGCTTACATCCATACTAAACACTACTGTTGGGTTTCATGAAGCAGCTGTAGCTTGATCCCAGAGCTGTTCGTATAGGGATTGGAGAGGAATGGATGTGCTCAGGGGCCCAAATTTCATAACATTTTAAGCTTCCATCCCCATTTACCAGGAATGCTGACTTACTATACAGTTGATATATGAACAAACCATGCAATGGTAGAAAATAATCTACTGGAAGAGACTGTTAATAAGAAAAATCATATCTGTGCACACTTTTATAACCTGGTTTGAGGCTTTTATGACCTGGTTGTATATCCTTGGTAATTGTGAATCTGTTCCCACTGTAAGCTCCTTATCTGGTGCATTGTCCGATACAAACTAAGGGTATGTTTGTCCTTGAACACCCACCCTTCTTCTTGGTATTTAGACGAGTCAGGATGGTCATCCAAATTGTTCACACATATCATATCCTGACGCTGCTCTCCTTGTGTTCTTTTTTTCTATAAGTTCATGTACACTTTCTTTGTTGATATCAGTCCTGCAATTTTGCACTCTTGTGTGACGGTACACTTGATATCAAAGCTCTATAAATATATATAAACTGCACTGGATCATTTTCTTCAGCTACATATTCAGATGTCCATCACAAAGATCTTCTGTAACACTGATTCCCAGTGGCTAGGTCACAACAGGTTAAAATGTGAAATAGAGTCAGCAAAACGAAGATAATACGGAAACTCGGAAGCTGACTACTTTTCTAATTTAATTTGTCTTTTGTTCTTTTCTCTGTTGTTTCTTTCTTTGGTATTATTAGCGCTACTTTGTTGTTTTACCACCTTATGTTATCTGAGGCGTTCACCACTCATTGTTCTCTCAAATCTTTATATTTTATTATTCTTACTTCTTCGCCTTTCCACACAGTCTTCTTACTACTCCTTCATACTTCTCAAAACAAAACCATTCAACTTTTCAAAACGTTTGATTTGTTCTTGTAGATTATCGGATGAATGCAACCTTTTGGTTCTATTTATTAAGCCTTAATATTAAGCTTTCGTATGAAA